GGTGCTAGCCACTCTTATGGATCCGTGTCACGAAAATTTCAGATCAATCTACACGCAGCGCTGTCAGTTACATAGTAACGGGAACGTCCAGAAAGCGATAATACCATCGTCGGCCAATCGATTACTTTCGGAGAGAGTTGTACCATTTACACGTACGCCTACAATCAATAACATTAAACAGTGTTGATCCCTTCGTGATTAAAGCACCAAATCAACTGTATTTTGACGGGAGACATCTAAATTCTGTGATCCCGAATATTTCACGGTAGACGGGGGCTGAAATTCTACATTTAGTGTCTCAGTGTTTACTTTGAAAGGATCTGTCTTTATTTTAGTTTCGGCCGTTCTCATACTCCACCAGTTTGATGCCTTATCGTTCAGCTACTCGAAAAATATTATACTAGTGGGTCTTCGTATGGCGTAGTCAGATCAATAACAGCAAACTCGAAGGAGCTAAGAAACACTGCATGTTCCAAACATCGTATCCTCTTTAAATCTTCCCCCTTCTACCTCCCCCCTCGCAGTGCAACAAAACCCCCTTTCCTGCATTTTAGTCCAATCCTCCAGGACAATCCCATAAGGCGCACCGAACTCAGAGGTCGCTGACATTACAACTCGTGCACTGGACTGGAAATATCTACTCGTCTCATGTAGGTCTCGTCTAAAGACAGGCCCTGGAAATGTTGCGTAATGATGCGAATGTTGCATCACCTAGCCTAGTGGACGTTTACCAACGTTTCAGAGGTCCTTGCCTCCTCGATTAGGGCGATCAGTAAGCCGTGGCTTACCTGTGCAACTGACCCATGCATACATACATTACGGCTGCCTCGCGTTTTGTTCTTTTGTGCTGGAAGTTAAATATTAATATCATAATTGAGAAATAAATTCGACCAGTTAACTTATATGTTCGTAATTCTGTAAGTTAGTAACGTTGTTGCTTTTTGTTACAAAGTGTAAACATATCAGTACGAAAATGGCTCGTGATGGTAACCGTATAACTATTATGGAATCTCAAAAAAGAAATATGAGGTTAGATGAAAGTTGACTTGTAGCACTGTAGAAAAGATTTCAGTTGTGTTTAATAATTGGGACTTTTTCTGTGAATATGTCCACAATAACAAAACAGTCTACAAACTCGTGTTTCAGTTGTGAACCAAAATCATGTTTCTTAATTATTGTACAAAAATCCAGTTTACTGTGTCTGGCCAGAACTTAAAACTATTTTCTATTACGACTAAGTCCAGCTGCTTCGATTTCACACAAAATGTCCGTGGTGGGGAAATGTCAGGTGACGCCAGACGGAGGACGAAAACTGAAATTAAGTGCACACGTCAACTTTGATTATAATAATCTGTAACTAATTAGTAGTATTGCATACTTATAAAAATAAGCTAAAATCAATTTATGCAACATATTTATATTTTTATCCAAGGAAAGTAAAAAAAATAGTTTGCGTGACATTTTTGTACTGGAGAAAAGCACAAACAAGCATTTATGATCCTATGCAAAGTGATAGTAAAAACTGCCCAATGGAAATAAAAATTGAAATGTTTCAACACTTCGCCTTAAATCTCTCCAATTTAAAATTGAATTAAAATCGGATTATCCATTCTCGAGTTGATTTATGGGTAACAGTGGAGGATGATCACGCCCTACGTCACATCTGCTACTTAGTCCATCACGCGACTGAAGACAAGCAGATGTATCTAAAATGTTATCTTTATCCGTCTACACACAACAATTTTGAATTATTTTTAGTATTTAATTCAGTTGCCATGATATGTTTCGGGTTATAAACCCATCTTCAGGTCATCTTTACATTTACCGCATTACTACTACACTGTTATTAAATACTAAAATAGATCCTGAAACACATTTCAACTATGTGTTACACCACTTCACTTTCGTTAAATATAAAGGCATGACACTAATTTATTTAAAACTACAGAATAAAAAGCATTTAAGAATGGTTACTGTCAAATTCCACTCAAAATAAAAGCGTCTTTGACTGACAACTGTGTGGCTTACCAAGATGCAATGCAATTTCACGGCCTGAGGTTCGTTTACAATCGTACATATTTCTACTAGGCAAAATATCATTTACATTCTCGTCACATGCATTGTGGGTATTCTTAGGACATTAAGACGCCTTACAGTAGTAGTCCACGAAAGCTTTCAGCTGTATCGTTCTGGATTCACCGGAATCAATCTGTTCGCATTTGATGCCGTAAACGTCAGATGTTGGTGGCGTATGGCGAAGATGTTAAACAAACGGCAAGTCAGTTATTACAGCAGCACCTACGTGTTTTCACTCGTTCCATACCAACAGCAAGCATACAGGTCGTCCAAAAAGAGACGTACACACAATGCTGACGTATGTAATGGTTGTGTGTATATATCTTCTTGGAAAACCTGTATTTTATAAACAATTTAGCCCTTTAGATTGCAGTGATATATGTAACACCTATTTTAACAATCGATAATCCTGCATTTTGTACTTCCTTGTATTTCCTCAAACAGCATTAACAAATTTATTTCCGTAACAGTGGTGGATTGTGTTTTCGTTGCGGTACGGACTAAGTTCTTAAATATTATTTAGAAAAGTTTCGGTTCTAAGGGGTTAAAAAAATCGCGAGAAATATGCCATTTTTTTAGTAGAGTTATTTTTAACGGACTATGTTTTCTAAGAAGGTACAATGTTAAAAGAAACGTACCTACTTGTTTGAGCTTAGTAAACAGACTTCTAAAGAAACGCTTATAAATAAACCAGCCTCGTTCTGTGCTCGACTCCTGGAATAGATGGTTTACATCGCAAGCAAGAGCATGGTCCAACAACCATCACAATTTCACAGTAACTGGCTGCGTGACCGACTTTCCGACGATTACTTGATTAACGTACGTCTTGACTAGCTTCTACCTGGTTGTACGACTTCTCTCAACAGGTAACTTCCTGGTCTCAAGGTGATATTTGCATTACCGATACGAGAAACCTACTCAAGACCTGAATTAAATAAAAGAGAAATGGGATATATTTGGCATGATCCAAGGGATAGCAATGGTGGTGAAAAGTACAAATTTAAGGGAAGATACAATGCTGCATAATATCACAATCCCCTTACAGAGATCAATCACAATAAGTCATTAATATTTTATACACACGTTCTGCTAAGGATTGTCACTTTGGCTTTGGTAACAGTGAAACTGAAAATTCAGTTTCTTCTATAAGAAACGTTTAGTCAGTTCGTACGGAAATTATATTGCATCACAATCCAGTTATCAAAGACAGGAATTATAAACATATAACGTTAGTAATTAAATCAGTGTCGACAAATAACGTATCAATCATCTGACTCTTTGACAGAACGCATCAAATTCTTGGCCCGTGGTGGTGGTTGGTCAATGGCTGACCAAGTACTGACTGGTTCGTTGATTAATTGACTGATGCTTCGTAGTGAGCGGAACCGTCATCCACATATTCATAATAAAAGAAGAATCATGGCTTCCTATAGCCATAAATTACTCACCGGAATTGATGAGGCTAATAATGCACCGCTACATCGTGGTCTAAAAGGGGAAAAATTGCAAAACTGGAATCAAAAGCTCGATATGTTACACTGGTCCCATACCAGTTATCAATCTTTTTTATTTATAAATGATAGAGTAAGTAATTTTCATTAATATAGTTACATTTCTGGGAATTTATAGGAAATTAGTTACAATGTTTTGCAGGGTCAAGCTCGTAAATGACGAATTTAAATATTCATGAAAAATAAGATTGTTCTGTATTGAAAACACATCCGGGAAACGTCAATAAATGTTCGCTGTGCAATTAGTTATAAAACTGTATACAGTTTATAAAATCACATTTATTACAAAACTCTCTGCAAGCTCAACTAACAAAACGTGTCCAATTAGATCAAAATAATTCCTGGTTTGTGAGATTTTAGTTTCTCGCGGCGACGGGTATTAATATATGGCTGTCTTATGGACTGTTTCCCCGTGTAGTCCGGTAGACTTTTACAGACGTTTCAGAAATGCCTGCCATCTCTATCAACAGGGCTATCGTCCTGACCAGACTACACAGACCAACAACCCAGAATACAGCCATTCTCAATGGAACATCTGGCCAGAAAACACAACGTTAAACGTACTCATAAAATAGAGAAACAATCATTTTCCTTCTCACAGATAAAAATTCGCGTCCAACCTTTCACTACATTCGATGCTAATTGGCGTGTTCGGTTAATACAGTGCAGGTAAAATAATCCAGGAACTAACAAAGCAAATTTCCCACGACAGTACATACGTCCGAAATCGAGGCTTCCTTTCTGAATACAAGGCGATAACGATGAACGAGTGACAACTTTGTCATGAGGCGAATTCACAGAATCCCTGCCACGAGATTAAACGCCTCAAGACTGCAGACAGCCACACACCCTTTTCACACCCTCGCTTCCTTTAGGATGTTTCCACAGATACGAAGTTTGGCAGTGAGTCGTGATGACGTTATCTTAAGCTTGCTATAAACTAAACCACCTGCCACCTTATAGTTCACACACAAAATTATTACCAAATATTCATTTAAATAAGAGCAGAAAGTTGCCCTATACCTGAGCGCAAGAGAGATTTTAAAAAGCGCTGTTTGTAACTTTGCTTCCCTCGTTTCTATTGGTGTACATTTATTGTTCACAGGTATAAAAAGAGGTTAAAATGTATCTTAGATAAACAGTCAAGATTTAAAGACCGAAATCGATCAAGCTTAAGCAAAATTGTATGAACTGGCAGACTGATACCAAGAGAGAGCTTCGAAATTCTTGCTTCTGTAAAACCGAGGTTCACCTGGTTACAATTTTTGCTTTCGTGGAAGAGTAATCCTTTACCATGTACTGACTGAAATAAGATTTTCTATTTATTCTTAATTATCTATACTAATGAGTAGCAGTAGAAAATTATTTTCATAACAGATTTATATTAAGACAAACAATCTCTTCTTTTTTCAGACTTGCCAACCGAATTGGAGATGAAAGGTAAATTAACATTTCGGCACACTATTTATATTGCGTTGTAATTGCTGAGGAGATTATCTGGACCTAAAAAATAAAAAAGTTTCAGAAGAATAGAGAAAATTATATAACGAAGAACTTCATAATTTTTAGTTAGTATTTCGTTCAAAGTGTTTGTTTTGGAAACAGAAAGGAATAATATAACATGCTTCATCTTCAGTCTAATATCCCAGATCTTGGAATGAGGTTTATTTGTTCTTTAAACAGCGTAATATTTTAATTGTTAATTACATTTTTCAACATATCTGAAATAAATAGACACTAAATTCAAGGTACACGTCTGGGAACAGTGTATTCAGGATTGGAGCATTCTTTCGCTTTCCTACATTTCCTAAATTTCATAAAACGTAGCTCGAAGCAGACACATTCAAACCGGACCTATCTTAAGAGTTATACTTTGAAAAGACGATAATCATTATTATAACTGTCATGGTCGTTTTCATAACTTCAGTATTATATTCAATTATGCCTGTGTTTTCTGGGAGAGTATCTCTGTTAAAGACACGAACCCAATCCTGTACATAAAATAAGCGCATGCAACTAAGAGTTTCATCCGGTGCGTAATTGAAGAGGCTGTACTTAGATTATTATTAAATGGGCGAAAACCAACGATGCTGTTTTACTAACACCTCTCATTAGCCTTTATTTTATCACACAGCGTATGTCCATTCTTCCCCCTGATCCAAATATGGCACTGATAGATTTCAATGAAACTCGGTATGGAAATCACTTCTCTGGATATCTCCCCATCTTAACAGTTACCAACTTTCTGTGATAACAACACAACTTACATGCGACATATGAGCAAAACTAGCGACACTGGACGCACTACAGCGTCTTTAAGGACGGATCCTCGTAAAGTGTCGTGTGGTAATTCATACGAAAATCGAAAACAACAAAATTTCAGCTCCGAGAATTATTTTGATCCTGGGACGGTACATGACGAGTCATCGTGTCACTGTAACAGTTCCGATGGGATAATACTATGTCTCTGTGCCCACTGTACATCCCCCAGATGATAAACGAATTAATATGGAGCAGAGTTGGAATGACATTTCCAGGACAAAGGAGACGGACTTGGATATAAACCTGTCCCGGTGAAACTTTGTCCACTAAAAATTCCCCCAGGGTACATACCAGGGCCTTTGCGGTGAGAAGTCGGCGACCAACCACCTGAGCTATGACAAAACCACGAGTCACTGACCTCTGTAGTCTATACGGCGACATGTTACACACACGTCTATTTTGTTAAGCAATTTTTGAATCCACGTCGTTTAATTCTGCGAATCTCTGAAATCCACTTGTCAACTGAAACAGCTTTTACTATTTATACTTATTTGTGCTTTCTTCTCTTTGCGTGTTATCATAAAATACTGGAGAGCGTCTGGATATGAGCGCTCTGCAAAATAAATGCATACTTCACGGATGTAACTGAGTGTAACGGGATTGTGACTTAGGTATTTATCAAAAGCGTCTTCAAGACAAAGAGACCAGACGCGGCTACATCGGGAAAAATAACAGATCAGACTTTTACTTCTCGTGTGCTTTCAAAAGGGCAGATTAGCGGAATTAAGTAACAAATACGTTTTGTGAGAGCAGATGCTCGTTACTTGATGTCTTATTTAACGAAGTTTAATAACTTCGCAGGCTATGTAGCGTCAGACAGTGGAATGGTGAAGAGGAAAGGGTTTTGATGTGCGCTATGTTGAGATACTATCCCAGGATTTGGCTGGACTGATTGACGGAAACCACAAAGAAACCTCAACTGGGATAGTCAGTTTCGGGGCCAACACTGGAAACGGGGACCACCCGAATTTGAAATGGTGCTAGCGTCTACACCTTTACTTTTGGTCTTCGAGCATAGAACCACTTTAGACGCAGACAATATTTTAATTCAGACGTACGCAAAAAATTTGAGATATCGATTATCTTCTTGCTGCCCCGTGAAGTTTTTCAGCTGTGGAGGTAACTAAAACAAGTAACAAGCAGAGTTAAAATCGGTGACATGGAAAATTTTATTCGAAAATGCACATGCACTTTCCAGTCTCCAGCTTTCAGATGCTTCTCACTGCCGTAGCAAGAACTTGAATGCCGAATGGAAGACAAACTGAATCACCACGCACATAAAACTTCACATTTCTCTCACATTTCGTGTTTTATTCATATTTCTAGCTTTTATATTAGAAAATAGTGACGGCCTAAAACAGTACTACGAATTTATTTCAATTTGTAAAACACACAATTTTGCTGTTACCTTCAAGCATGCAATTTGGTGACATCCGTAATAATTAATCGCTGAATAAAATCATCAGATAACACAGTCCTAAAACATAACATAATACCGACGACACACTGTTATCGCTACAAAGGATATCATTATTAGTTCTACTACTGCCATTATTGTATCTTCTACTACTACTACGACAATAATTACCGTTATCATTTAATTAGTTTGCTGTTAGTATTTCATGATTAAACGCTAATCACTATCACAAGAAGAATGCAATTTTCAGTTAATGTAGTCATAAACGACGTATTTATGAATTTATCGATCCACCATGTGGATGGAGGCCTTCTGTCTTCTGACGAGTTATAATGCAGTTTGCGCGAGATACGAATAGTCTATAATTAGTCGACTGTAAATTACAAAACTACTGTGCGGAGCATCAATACATTTCAAACTAAACACGAACATAACGGGCAATTTGAGAATTGCGATATGCCAAACAATTTTAGCAACAGATTATAAACGTAGGCCTGTCTATAAATTTTGTAATAAAGTTTTCTCTAAACGTTAACAATTAGGGGCTGATGAAGGAGGTAGGAAGCACTTCTGAAACGTCGGTTAATTTCTACCTTACTATGGGACGTAACATCTCAGAAGACAGTCGTCTTCATATATATATATATATCCCTTTCTCTCTGTCTACAACGAATAGGAATTCTCTTTCATTATTAACAGTTTCAAAAATAACGATAAAACAAACCGCCTACTGTACACACATATTTTTTAAAACAATGTTCTTGGTTATGAAAACGCTTTCAAAGTCACTTTTATCGTTTTTTTACGCAACTTATTAATTGCATAACTTTCTTCTTGTTTTTTGTTCATGTTACTGTTATTCGGGCATAAATAACTAACCAACCATCCCACCATCTTTCTTAATAAGTTCAAATGAAACCCGTTAGGGGATTACAACTCCATCTAGAAACATTTTGCTTTCATAACACCAAAGATTTATCATCTTCATCACGAAGCCTGTGGACTGGTTTCTATTCCGAGACAGTTCAATTCAGTCCACTGTTTTCTTAATATTATCATCCTGTCTACTCGTATGTATCCCAAGCGTCTCTTTCCACGAACTCTTGACCAAAATTGTGCAGTCACTTATTACTGTTTTATTCATGTTATGCCTATACTATTCCCACATGATGCCTCTAATCACCCTAAAAATACTATGTGCACAAAATGCATGTCGCTTTTCGTAACTTAGATCTATTTTCTACATTCCTATGTTACGTCACCTTTATTAGATCCAATACTGTGTTCTTCCTTCAGAACTAGAGGTCATGCTTAAAGTCCGAAAACAAAAGATAGTTAAAATTGTAGTTTCCCACAATGCAAAGTCCAGAGTACCCTATAAATTATTATAAATGGCCACTTGCATACACCAAAATAATAAGAGTTCTTTAACTTGTGGTATAAGTTAGTGACTTCACTCGTGAAAAATGCGAAGTTTCCTTTGATTTTTCAGTACCAAATATCAGATGAAAGGATGGTGGTGCTCGGTGAGAAAAATATGGAAGTTGTCGGGCTTCGTACCTTTTAACTTTGTGCCCCGGAGTTTTCAAAGCAGACCGTTAGTCAGCGAGTTCCATCTCGATATCGATACAACTCGAATGAGAGTCAGACGCGCTACTGCTGAGCTAGTCCATGTTCCATTAAAGAATAATAGCCTACTTTACGTCGAGGGGAATTTGCACTGCTGCAAACCTAAGTTACGGAGCAAAGTGACGTCGTCGACAAGAAAACCATTAATCATCGTGGTTTTGCTTCAGGTTATTCCAAACTATCAGAAGACATTCATTCTACACAGTGTAAACTGTGCTTTCAAGTAGATGAGACTTCTATGCAACCATTAAACTTCCTGTAAGTTACATGAAAATTGCAGACATTAGTATGAGCTAGAAATAGAGCACCCGGCTGGGAAAACAAGAACAAATTTCAAAATTGTGGAGGGGAAGCCTCTTGAAAAGAGGCCGATTTACGGCCGAGGAATAAATTTAAGACTAATACAGAAAGTTACAAACGTAACCAGTCTACCTTTGCCTTCTCCATACAAACATTTAAACATCTAACAGTCAACTTTCGAATTACTAAATAAAATGCGTTTTTGATTGCTGTGTGCAGCACGGAACATTTGACCGCTGGTGGAGGAGCAGTGGTGACCACTGGTGGCAGTTCCTACCCTGGCTCAGCCAGAACCAGTGCCACGACGTCTTTGGCTTCCTCGAGAGAATCCAGCACCAGCAATCCGGGGCCGACAGGGTACAAGGTCGTCATGTTAGGCTCAGCGGGTGTCGGAAAGTCCTCTCTCATCAACCAGTTCATGACGTCAGAATACCTTCATGCGTACGATACATCTCTAGGTAAGTACATAACAGCTTCGAGGTGGTAATTTCGTCAAGCATGCGAATAATATAACAAACTAATTCCCACATCATGTTTCGTGAGCGAACAAATTTGTCAGTTGGTGTATTATCCACTGATATTACAGATCTGAAAGCTGTTAATTTTATTATTGTATTTGTTAAGTGCTGAGAAATATTTCGAATAGAAGCCACAAATCTTAATTAGATATATGTCATATATACACACAGATCGTGTACAATCTTTATGAACAGAACATCGTTTTTTAAAAAAAATGACTTGTGCTTCACGTAACTTAAAGCAGGGGCTACAAGTACTGACGGGATCAAAATATTTTAAACCGATTATTTCAGTGTACAGAAAATCCCACCAACATCCACTGAATAATTCAGAGGCCCGGTATGAGAATGGGAAGTGAGGCAGACTTGACCTCCCATTATACTTTCACGTTATGCACATCATGCTAATAAAATATGAAACAATGTAGTCGACATCATAACAGCAATCAAGAAGCGAAGTCCTTAGAAGAGAGGGCAGGACGGCGTTGGGTACCTCGAAATATACAAGACCCTACCTCCCTTGCATTAAGGGGACATACCAAGGTATCACTTTGAAATTGTCACTACAGACACAAACCTTAAAGAATATGATAATTACTTTACAGTCTGGGAGGAACCATGAAATTTCTAAATGTTACAGAACGTCGAGTTGTACTAACTCAGAAATCTCACAAGCGCCGTCTCCTAGAATAAAAGAATTACTGCAATGCTGTGACGTTTTATGAGCACATAATAATACGTCCAGCAAACAACTGCCATTAAATTCGAATAGAGTCAAGCTACGGACAGTAGCCAGCTCAATCACTGCAGGGTAATCCAAACATAAAAGCTACAAGAGATTTAGGCCAGCGTGAGTCATAACATATCCGAACAAAGGCAATCTTCAAGGATTAACCGGGACGGCTCCACTGGACACGCTTTGTTTCTTAACGGCGAACAGCTGAGGTAGATTTTTGCCCTCAGCATTTCAAATACGCATTATTCTACTGATAATGCGACCTGCTGCTAAAAATAACAGCGCGTAGCAAGGTAGAAAAATCAACATGACTGCAAGGAATGAAGGAAGAAAGGAAGGAAGGAATAAATGGGGGGGGGGGCAAAATAAAGTAGCGAAGATATAAATAAATAAATAAGGATATTTTTAAAAAAAACAAGCTCAAGCAAAGACACTTTTGTGTCAGCCTGTTATGTTAGCAGATCAGATGCTATACGGAGAATTTCAGTCAATATGTGACGTCCTTCTGCCGTTGTCTGCTTAACAGACTTGAGTCGGGTAGAAGTATTGTACTCCAGGTAGCTGCTGTCACATGACTTTGACTCACACACGTCTCGGGCTTCAAGCAGGACATATAAGATTTGTAGTGTGAGAAGTCCCTAGTCTCAAAGGTGAGATTCTTAGTATTTTCTCCTATAGTAAGTCACCCAATCCATTTTATTAGGTGCATTTCGAAAAGGAAAAACCAATGAGTTCCAAAACCACCTTTCAGAATCGTCATTTCCGCTAGAAATAGAGCCCCGACTACTAAATCAATTTCAATCAAACTCGTTGTGGTGAATGCCCACGTATTTATTTATATGTAGTTTGTTTAATTTAAAGGTCTTCTTATTTAGGTTCCAACATTAAGTTTTACGAAAAATTTGTTGAGTCCTTTATTGCATTTCGGCAAATCTTGACATACGACACTCAAATTGCACCGTCATTTCCATGTGTAAGTTTAAGTGACCTTAATTCATTTAAGAATCACTTTACATAACGCCCTATTTCGACTTTAATTTTCATAGTTTAATTACATGATACGTACATGCTTCTTCATAGGAAAGTATTTCCGGGTATCAGCTGCATTCTTCTCAATAATTTTGGCAGTAAGACAAATACCTGTGTCGAAAATTCGAAGCGCAGGGGTTTGATGTCAGCCCAATAGCACCTCTTCCCTTTCTTATTAGAGCGAAAGGCAGTAGTAATTCAGCACGGACCGAAAACTACGAAAGTATTAGTCAGGAAAGGTTCAAATCGGGTACCCCTGATGACATACTTATTATTTTTGAGCTAATTTACTCCTTATACCGTTTCTTCATGAACTGTGGATTTACAACCTGGTAATCCACCAATTAGTCTCATAGTCAAGTTATGTACCATCGCAGTTACCACCAAAACTCCACTTTAAGTTATTATAGCGGCCGGTATACCAAGTCCTAGGTTATTTCGACCTATCAAATTTTACAGCTAAAAAATATTGTTCTGTCTATATCACTTTGTATGGTCTAATTGTTTTCAAACATGACAGTGTTATTTGGAATAAAATCACACTAATAATTTAGTATTCTCCTTGATACAGCTACTTTATTGTTTTCAAGAAACACAATATAGTTATTTTCGTTTGCCTTTTTAAAATTAACCACACAAATCTTTTAAATAAACTTATTCAGTTATCTACAGCAGTACAGTTTAAATTTAACTTCTGAAATATAACGAATTTGAAGTTACAGATCTGTTAAACTTGAGATGCAGACAGAAGATTAAAATATGATGTGTAACTTTTATTCAGTTTTTATTGAATCACTTTCTGCTATCTTAGTATCTGTGAAGGTAAGGTACTGTACTCTCGTGCTTTCCAGTAAAGGAAACTTTCCCTGAAGACAGAGATACGACAGAGTATAAATATCAGATTTGCATTTAAAATGTGCAATGAATACGTAATCGCACACAACAAAGAATCTATACTTCTGGTCCCTCTGTTGCATGGAACTTCAAAATAAGTTTTTTACTCGAGAAAAGTCATATTTATCTGAGCACCACACAGGTATATTTTCTATTCAAAATCAAGTAACTGTATTCGAAATAACTTCAAAGATTAAATCGGCACAATATTCCAAAGAAAGATATTTTCATTACAAAACTTCAATAAACATTACAGACCACGTAAATTAAAAAGTATCGTACTAGAATATGAAAAATGAAGCGCCTTGTACTTACTCATGATTATTACTGACATTATCAGTATCAATATAATAACATCAGAAATTCCTTAGCCATTTTAATCCAAATATCGTATCTAAAAGTAATCATGTTATAAAATTATAGTCGCAAAAGGTCACTTACAAAATGCCCTCCACTTTATTAACAAATCTCGAGCATGTGTGCAGCAGCAATTTTGTTGTCCTAGAGTAAATCTTACATCTGAACCACCGCCATAGAACAAATTATGTCGCACTATCAGAAGCCATGAATTTTTCCAGCGACATTAGTTTTCGGTCCTAAAGTAAAGTACTCATCGCCCTTCTATTCGAGGTAGTAAGCACCTCTGAAACGTCGGTCAATGAGAGTACACGGCGCAACAGTCCAGAAGACAATCGATCATCTTTTACTCGCTTCCACGAGAGCTTGAAATCTCAACAGAACTGTGTTTAAGAACACGCTGTCTGTATCCAACAAGACCCTGGGAACTGGAAACAGACGTCATTTCAGCCCCACAAAGAAGTGCTTCTGTAAACAAAGCATAAATCAGTTGTGAGTGACGCTAACTTTGTGGCGCCATACACGTGTCCAATAAATCGAATCTTAAATTTAGAATATCTGCTTATTACTTTAAATGTAAAAGAAAAACAGTATGCATTCACATCCATTTACGTAATTTGTCTCTAATAAAGACACTAGTTACTATCTGTCTTAATGTCAGGAATCAAAAGACTGCGGCTAAAATGAGGTATGTTCAGCTTTATTTTACAAGCTCCTAGAGAACAAATAGAAACTTAAAAGACGTGAAGACGAGTTAATACTGAGTTCACAGAAACATAGACTAAATAACTCTAAATACATTGTGAGATTTCAGGTTCTAAAGGTGGCGAGTGTGATGTTGCGCCCTGTAGTCTGGTAGACGTTTGCCGACGTTTCTGAGGTGTTTGCTACCTTCATCACCAGGTGATCGCCTTACCAGACCACACGGCTCAGTATTCCAGATGACGGTCATCTGTAACTCTACCGGCGTTAATCTTGTGTCAAAATGTCCGGGACAAGTTATCTGCTAAATAAAATAACAGAACGAGTTCTTCTTGCTTGCACCAGTTTCATGCTAAAGAATTCAATTATCTTGGCAACACGTCTCCTCAGTTCTGTCTGGATTTGTTATATAGTGGCTTAAGAATGCAATTCTGTTCGTAGTACTCTCGGGATCTTTGTGTCCAACTCCGTGGACTGTGACCCACTTGGTCCGATAGTTACATGGAAATGCATCGAATCCAGCGGCATTTACAGTATACCGAATATGACGTTAGAAGTGCCCTTTATAAATGATACGATAAACTACGAACCAATTAACGTGGAAGAAGACGTATAGAAGATAAAGGGTAGCAACCAGACCTATAACATCAAAATGTTTTATGTAGACTTGTAAGAACTGATACTGGTGTATTGAAACATAATTATTTTATGTGCTTTGGTACCATTGGTTAAAATTATATAAGAGCGATATTACACAAAATTATTATAGAATGATCCCTAAATTCTTTGATCTTCATCGATATTATAACGTGGATAAAATCAATGACGATAAATGGGCAGTGCATATAGCACAAATGGGATAGATAAGAAATGCATAAAAGGTTTAGTCTGAAAATCGTTAGGGAAGAGGTCAATTGGAAGATTCAGGCTAACATTAAAATGGAGTTAGTCAGGTTTATTGCGTTTCTGGACTTTGTCCAACGTCCAAGGTTCAAAAACCCAATAAACCCGATTATATCACACAATCATCAGAGCCCAACAGAATCCAATTAGTATGGATCTTGAAGAAATAGGGTGTAAGGATGCATACTTGATTCATTTGGGTCAAGGTAGAAACTAATCTCGAATTTTTGTTGAAACGGTGATGAACCTTCGGGTTCTATAAATGGCGGTAAACTACTTTTGAAGCAGAACGACTATCAGAGTCTCTTGTTCAATGGAG